TTATAGAGGGTTTAATATAGCTAATAAGGGGGTAGGAGTTATCTACTATCTATAGATAGAGTATAAAGTAGACCTTAGCTTTCTCTAGGGCTGCTACTACTAAGGGTAGGCCTATATTATAGAAGAGAGTTACTATCTATAGATAGAGTATTGAAACGGGCTCTGTCCCGTGTTGCTAAATCTATATAAGACTAGCGTACAAAAGATATCGCTGAGGAAGGAAGAAAGGAAAAGTGGAAGATTGGGTGAAAGCAAGTCGTTATAACAATCATCGGGCACTAATTAGGCTTCGCGGTTGGAGTCAAGTTGTGGCGCGATAGCCGCAACATGCGCCTATCGGGCATCGCCTGTTACATTACCCCCCTCCCCTCTCTGGGCTCGGCGCAACGTAGGTGGTAGTTAGCGTCTGTTGGAGGGCCTCCCAGTCGTCTAAGGCAGCTACATCTTGGAGTAGTTCGGCATTAGTCCAGGTCTCGCGGGCATATCCAGTCCATTTGATGTGGTATTGTTTGCGCTGACCACGGCCGCGGCGTACCATCTGTTCACCAGTTATGCGTTCCACATGGTATTCTTCGGAGCCTTTGTTCAAAATAGCAGGGGGCTGATAATCATCCTTGCGCTGGCTTGGGAAGGGATCATCCGCCGCAGGCCGTAGCAACATTGTGTGAAAGACGTTATGGATGCCAGCAGGCGTGTTTAAACGGTAAGCGTGTGAGCCAACTCTCTCAAGGACTGTGTACTTGGCATGACGAGCATTAAGTTTCTTACTCGGGCGGTCTGTCCTGATGTTCCGAAGGTCAAGCCACACCCTATCACCATGTCGGTATGCCGTTGCTTCTTGTCAGTGATGATTTGCAGCTTCTTCCTGGCGCTGTTGAGCAGAGGCCAAAGCCACTTGTGTAATCTCTAAGGCTCCCTTGAGTTTAGCAACAATGTTTTCGCCTTTTTGACGCATTGAGCGAGTGTTAGGAATATTGTGAATCCCTTCATCCAGCTGCAGCGGTTCCACATTATAACCATGGTCCAGGAAGAATGGGCTGATCCCTGTTGAAGCCGAATCGCGGCCATTAATTGCAAGCTGTGCCATTGGGGCAAGGAATGCCCAGTTGCTTTGACCCCAGTCACAGAACATGCAGAGATAGGCTTCTATTGTTGAATTGGAACGCTCAGTCTGGCCGTTAGTTTCCGGGTGGTAAGCAGTTGATAATTGATGTTTGATTCCCAGTAGTTTGCAGATTTGACTCCAAAGATTGTTTACAAATTGGTTCCCACAGTCTGATGTGATTGCTGAAGGTATTCCATGGTGGCTAATAAAGTATTTGATAAACTGGCGGGCGACATAGTCAGTGTCAAGCTTTTCCAGTAGCTTAAGTATTATCCCCTTCCCTAAGCGGTCCACAATAACCATCAGATTGGTGCAACCACCTGATAGAGGCAGTTTCTCAATGAAATCAATCGACATTTCTCGCCACTTGCATTCTGGAATTGGTAAAGGCTTTAATAGGCCTTGCTGACGGTCTCTCCAGACTGTATTAGCTCCGCATTTATCGCAATTCCTAACAAACTGCCGTACAGCATCAGACATCCTGGGCCAATATACGCTCCGGGCGAGAATCGCATATGTCATGTCTCTTCCAGGATGGCCGCTAAGTATAGAGTCATGTACTTCCTGTATTAATTGAGTCCTTAATGGCTCGCTCTCAGGGGCCCAGCGCCGGCTGTGAAAGAGTAGCTGGCCTTTTGCATTGAGTTCACATTTAGTAATTGACGTGTTCACTTTCAAGCGGGCTGGAAATCGGCGAAGGCCATCCTGAACGGCTTGTTTTAACTCTTTAAGCACTTCATCAGCAGCTTTAGCAGCTTCCCATTACTGTTCCAGTGGTTGCTCTTTAGACTTATTTCCTAGGGTATTAGCTGTTACTAGGGCCACAAACACAGCATTACTAATGAATGCATCCGGGTTTAATAGGCATACATCCCGGAATTCTAAGCGATCGTCACCCTTAGCTGGCATGTCTTGTTCTCGTCGAGACAGGGCATCTGGTCGACTGGCAAGCTTCCCTGGTCGATATTGCAGTGTGAAGTTGTACTGGCTTAGTATGTCAGCCCAGCGCATCTGCTGCTCGCTCAAACAACGCTGCGTAGTGAAATACCGCAGGTTTTTGTGGTCTGTAATAATCTTGAAATGCCGTACACTACTTAGCTCTGACTCCCATTCTCGCAGACAACAGATAATAGCCAAGAGCTCCTTATCATGGATCTCGTAGTTACACTCAGCTGGCGTGTTTTTTCTTGAGAAGTACGCGCAAGGCCGTAGCATTCCATCATCACTGTATTGGGACAACACACCACCAGTGGCCTAGCCAGATGAATCAGCCTCAACAACTGTCTCACGATCTGGGTTAAATTGCACCAAGATTGGAGCAGTGGTGAAGAGCTCCTTGAGCATTCGGAAAGCCTTGTCTGCATCATCAGTCCATGAGAATGCCTTATCCTTCTTAGTAAGGTCAGTTAATGGGGCGACTATCTCTGAAAAGTTATGAATGAATCGACGGTAGAAATTAGCGAAGCCTAAAAATGATCGAACGCCCTTGATGGTGCGTGGGACTTCCCAGTCCATAATTGCCTTAACCTTCTTAGGATCCATGCGAATGCCCTTCCCCGCCTTAATGATAAAACTAAGGTACTTAGTGCTGGTAACTTCGAACTCATATTTATCAATGTCCAGCTGCAGGCCCGCATCCTTAAGCTGATGGAGAACTTTTTGGACGTGCTTATGATGCTCCTTCAGTGAGCCAGAGGAGAATATTAGTATGTTGTCAAGATATGCTGATACAAATTCATCAAGAAAGTCTCGCAAGGTCCAGTTGATATATCATTAGAATGTGCTAGGAGCGTTTGCAAGGCCAAAAGGTGTGATAAGCCACTTAAACAGCCTAAAGCGAGTTCTGAATGCAGTCTTCCATTCATCCCCTTCAGCGATCCTGATCTTATGGAATGCAGCGATGACATCAAGTTTCGTGAACCAGCAGGCCTTCCCGATCCGTTCCAGCATCTCATGAATAAGTGGTAATGGGTAACAGTCCTTCTTGGTGATCTTATTTAGTGCACAGTAGTCATAACAGAATCGTAGTCCGCCACCAGGCTTCCAAACAAATAGTACCGGTGCAGCAGCGGGTGAATTGCTAACGCGGATAAAGCTCTTGTCCATAAGCTCTGTCAATATTTTGCGTAAGACCAGCAATTCTTCCCCTGATGAGTTGAATAACAGTCCCCAAGGCGGTTCGACCTTGTTCCCTTTCTCGTCGTGGTCAAGTAACTCTATTTGGTGGTCAACCTGCGGTCCACGCAGGGGCGGTAACTGATCGGCACGGTTCCGGTCGAAAACATCTAGGAATTGGTGATAGTGGGCTGGTAGCTTGACACAAGGATCTGTATATGTCTTCTGTTGCAGGGCCTTCTCAATGTCCCTTAAGCTCGCTGCAAAGACTTCGACACCCCCCTTCTTTCTCTTCCTCTGGTTCCACATGCCAAACGCGGCCGCTGATATCTCTCTCAGGTCTAGCTGTGGCGCCTGATCGGTGCTGGTGACCACCAGTCCTGAACTGAATATCAGGTGGGGGCCCTGCGAGTCGATTCTCACACCTTGATGCTTCATCCACGGCAGTCCTAAGATTATACATGTTAGCAGACATAGAAATGAGCGGCAAAGATTGTCTTAGGCACATCACATTTCCCGTTCAGTTTCTCTGCAACTATATTTGTCAGAATGGACCGTCAGGTGTCCTACAACAGGCCTCTCCCAAACACTCCATCAAACCTTCCTCCACAACCCCAAATGGATCTGCACCTTCCACTCCCTTCCATAACCTACACACTCGTCTCAAAATCACTTCCTACTGTCCCCACGAACCATCCCTCCCATCTAAGCCTGTTTCCAAGTGTTTCATTCCCGCAAGTTTCACGCCTGCCCGTGCCCTGTCCAGCAACCTAGATGCAAGTGAGAACCGATGGCGTCACCGAAGGGGATAAAGCAAACAACTTGTCCAGAGAGGCCGCCGTCTCCAATCACTGGTACCGGAAACTCTTGTCCACATGCTCGATACATGTGAAGTCGTTCCCCAGATGAAAGGTTTGCTTGTTCTCTTGTTCTTGGGTATCTTGCCTGACGAGATTTTGCGTCTCTCAAGATCGATCCAGGCTATGTGTGCCTTGCTTTTCAGTGAGTTTTTCCATTTCTTTCCCCCCAGCCCTGAAAATCATTTTGAGATCTTAGTATCTGGTGATGCTTGAACTCACAGTCCATTACAGTCATTTTTACCCGGGCTGTACTGGTGCCGCTCTCGCTGTTCGAGGGGATGTCCCATACACCAACGGGTCTAGCTCGACGGTATCTTACTATAGTTTGACTTGCTGGAAGTCTTAGATGGGCTGTGAGAATTGATTAGGTAGTGGAGATACACCGTCCATGGGTCACGGTGTGGTTACAGCAGTGTAGTGCTTAGATTCGTGTGAGGGAGATCGAACTGCAGATATTGCATTGGCTATCTAATAAGCACGAAGAGAGCGGGGTGAAATGAAGAACTTTCTTAGCTGCTTATATATCGTGCTCACCAAAATATACTGTTGGGAGCCTAAGGCCCACCAAACCCACATGATCTTGCTTAGCAACTTATCTGCTTACTTCCTTCAGCTCAGATAGCTTCATCCATGAATCAATTTATCAAGCATCACCATAGCTCCATTTTCCCCTGGCTATCATCGCCAACATATCCTATTCCTAATCAAATATCGTCACGAAATCATATCATCAACAGCCGTACAGCACGCCATTCATTCGAGTTGAATGATGAAAAGATGAGTTAACTGTTGCGTCACGGTCTGAAAGTTGAACTGGACGTATGATGCAAGGTTTTTTTTGGACATTCTGTTTACTTTTACTCAATCCCCTTCGTCGGTATTAATATTTTCTACGCTGCCATTGCCAGTTGAATCTCATCATGGAAATCCCAGACACCCAATGGGCTCAGGTTCTTGAGCAAACAGGCGGCCCCGTTATCTACAAGCAGATTCCGGTCCGGAAACCAGGTCCGGACGAAGTCCTCGTGAAGATCAAGTACTCGAGCGTGTGCCATACCGATCTGAGTGCTATGAAAGGCGACTTGCCGATTCAGATGAAGCTCCCTCTTGTCGGTGGGCACGAGGGTGCCGGTATGGTCGTAGCGAAGGGTGATCTGGCGACGGAAATCGACATTGGCGACCATGCAGGCATCAAATGGATCAATGGCTCATGCCTGTCGTGTGAGTTTTGTCAAAATGCCGATGAGCCGCTGTGTCCGAAAGCCTTGATGTCGGGATGTACTGTTGATGGGACCTTTCAGCAATACTGTATTGCCAAGGCTGCGCATATCTCTAAGCTCCCCAAGAATGTGCCTCTTGACGCTGTTTCTCCCATCCTATGTGCCGGTCTTACTGTCTATAAGGGTCTTAAGGAGTCCGGTGCCAGACCGGGCCAATTGGTCGCCATTGTCGGTGCTGGAGGCGGGCTGGGATCTCTAGCCCAACAGTATGCAAGGGCTATGGGCATGAGAGTCATCGCCATCGACATTGGGGAGGAGAAGAGAGCATTGTGTGACGAGCTGGGAGCTGAAGTGTGCTTGACTCACCGTACAGGAGTGGGGATAGGCTAACAGACTGCCATCATTTCTAGGCCTACATCGACTTCACCGAGTCCAAAGACCTCGCCCATGATGTGCAAGTGGCCACCCCAGACGGGCTCGGCCCCCACGCTGTCCTCCTGGTGGCCGCCTCCGAGAAGCCCTTCCAGCAGGCCACCAGCTATGTGCGGTCTCGGGGCACCATCGTGGCCATCGGTCTGCCGCCCAACGCGTACCTCAAAGCGCCCATTTTCGGCACCGTTAGTCGCATGATTACTATCAAAGGCAGCTATGTCGGCAACAGGCAGGATGCGGCTGAGGCGATCGACTTTTTTGCACGGGGCCAGATTAAGGCGCCTTTCAAGATCCTGCCGCTGAAGGACCTGGGACATGTGTACCAGCTGATGGGTTGGTTTGTCCGCCACCTCATTATTGGGACGTGTAAGAGGCTGATTCCGAGATATTAAAAAACAAAAGAAGAATCGAAGGTCGCTGGCCGTTACATTCTCCAGATGCCGGAGTGATATGTTACGAGCCTACCATGCAACAGGCTCGTCCTTTTGCTTCTTCACCAAGAACGACATTGAGCCACATCTTCTGAATGAGCAGACAACGAGGCTAGATAGTTCGAGATAGCCAATTCATGCATCGCTTCCTTTATTTCCTGAGTGCATATGACTCCGAGACTGATAGAATCGATATGTTCCTGCAGTAGATCTAAGTGCAATATTGTCGTATATGGGACGTCATCGGTGCGTGAAGAGGAGCATCAAGATCGATCTGTGGCGTCATTCCTTGATCAGAGCATCACAAGCACATTTCAGCTGTCGGGAATTCATCCAAACGGGCGTTTGCATTCCCCAATCTACTCGAACATTTACCACTAGCTGAAACATGGAGTCTCCAACATCATCATGCGACAAATGCTCCCACACACCCGTCGACATCGAAGACTGCCAGGCCGAGCTAGTCTCTGCTCGAAAGCGAGTTCAGGAACTCGAAAGGTCTCTGGCGTCGCTGAAACATAATGGTCGTTCTTCTTCATTGCGATCCGCCAAGTGGTTCAATGATGAGAAAAGCCCCGATATGACCGCCCTTTACGTCGAACGATATCTCAACTACGGACTGACGATCGAGGAATTGACGTCCTCCGACCGCCCCATCATCGGGATTGCGCAGACAGGGTCTGACTTAGCGCCTTGCAATCGGCATCATTTGGAACTGGCCAAACGGGTTCAAGAGGGGATTCGGACTGCAGGAGGGATCGCCTTTGAATTTCCAACACATCCGATCCAGGAAACTGGGAAGAGACCCACAGCGGGTTTGGATAGGAATCTGGCATATTTGAGTCTTGTCGAGGTCCTATATGGCTATCCGTTAGACGGGGTGGTGCTTCTGACGGGGTGCGATAAGACCACTCCGGCCTGTTTGATGGCCGCTGTTACTGTGGTCAGTGTCACTGTCCTTTTTTCTTTTTTCTGCTAATGTCCTCTAGAACATTCCAGCGATGTGTCTTAATGTCGGTCCCATGGTGAACGGTTACGTGAGAGATCATCGAGTCGGAGCAGGATCGGTTGTCTGGAAGGCCCGCGAGCTCTACGCTACGGGTCAAATCAATGAAGAAGGCTTCATCAATTATGTATCCGCAGGGTATGTACCATCGCTGAAGCAAGTCTTGATCACTAATGGGAGTCTAGAACCCCGTCAGTTGGGCATTGTAATACGATGGGGACTGCCTCGACCATGAATGCACTTGCAGAAGCACTCGGCATGGCACTTCCAGGATCTGCTGCTATTCCAGCTCCCTATCGTGAGCGAGGACATTGCGCCTACAAGACAGGCCTGCAGATTGTTGAAATGGTGCGTTCTGACAGAAAGCCAAGTGATATTCTAACCCGCCAGGCCTTTGAGAATGCCATTGTGGTAAATACTGCTATTGGAGGCAGTGCAAATGCTGTGATTCATCTCAATGCTATTGCAAAGCATAGCGGTATAACACTTGAAATGGAGGATTGGGACCGTCTAGGGTTTCATATCCCGCTGCTGGTCAATATCCAACCAGCCGGTGAACTCTTAGGCGAGGAATATTTCCGTGCCGGTGGTCTTCCTGCCGTGATGGCAGAACTGCTCGATGCTGGGAAACTACATGGAGATATTCTCACATGCAATGGTCACACGGTAGCTGAGAACGTCCAAGGAAAATATTCCTGGGATCGTAAAACGATCCGGGCATATAATGAACCAATCATTCAGGATGCTGGTTTTATACATGTTACCGGCAGTCTATTTCACTCGGCCGTTATGAAAGCATACCTCATATCTCGTGAATTCAGACATAAATTCCTCGAGAAACCAGAGGATCGAAACGCATTCGAGGGAGCGGTCATTGTATTCGATGGCCCGGAAGATTATAACCAGCGTCTCATGGACCCCTCCACCCCCATTGATGAGAGGAAAATCCTTATCATGCGTGGGACCGGTCCTCTTGCTTATCCCGGCGCTGCAGAAGTGGTGAATATGCATCCTCCTAGCCATCTCCTGCATCAGAACGTCCAATCGCTACCGTGTATCGGTGATGGAAGACAGTCCGGTACTTCCAACTCATCATCCATCTTGCATGCGAGTCCGGAAGCTGCGGCCGGTGGTAACCTCGCCCTCCTACGAGATGGGGACGAGATCCGAGTCGATCTGAATAGTCGTCGCATTGATATCCTGGTTTCGGAGGAAGAGCTGAAGAAACGCAAGGCCGAGCTGGATGCAAAAGGAGGGTATGCTATTCCCGATAGCCAGACCCCATGGCAGGAGCTTTTTAGGAAGGAGACGGAGCAATTGAGCGAGGGGATGGTATTGCGAGATGCTTGTAAATATCAGCGAGTTGCCCAGAAATGGCCCACACCGAGACACAGTCATTGATCCTATAGCAGTTTAGAAGTGGGATGGGGAGCTGTCATGAATTTGTATTTGTACCTACAGTTGCAGGCAATATGCAAAGCCGGGGCAGATACCCAATCATTATCTCTTACCAAGTAGTTGATGTAGAACCATCATTTGGATGAAATTCCATTCTCGAGCTAGGTCTTACCTAAGTTACCTTTTGTTCGAAAATAATTAAATGCTCTTTTCTTCGCTGGGACTCGGAGAGAATCTTCCTCGTCTCCAACGTATCAACTGGGAAATCTGTCAAAACTGTCTACTAAGAACGATTCAACAGTGTACCGAATACAGACTACGAGTTAAGGTGAATGCGTATAATATTTCTTATGAAACGCCGCGGCCTCGTCCCCCGCGATCCTCCCAAACACGACACACTCCAGCAGCGACGACCCGGAAAGGCGATTTTGACCATGCACACCCCCCGAAACTTCGCCCGTAGCCCAGAGACCCTTGATAGGGACGCCTCGACCATCCAGCACCTCGCTGCGCTCGTTGATTCTAACTCCGCCCATAGTGAAGTGCACGACGGGCGTGACCTTCCCGGCATAGACGATGGAGTCCGGCGCTACATCCATCAGAGCCCAACGGCCAAAGGAAGTGCGGCCGAATGTGTCCTGCTTGCGGCCCGAAACAGCATCCGCATATGCCTGGAGGGTTCTTAGCGCGGACGGGCCGAGCTCGCCAACTATTGTCTTGCGGATCAGGCCCTTCGAGAGGTAAAACTGCATATGAGAAGATGCTGATGCTGCGGCGCCCTCGTCGAGAACAAGAGTGACATCCCACTGGCGCAGCGTCGTCGTCTCCATTGGACACACGGAATGCATGATCACGTTAGCGATATGCTCTCTCGTGTCCAGCTCGTTGACGAAACGGCTTCCATCCCTCGATAGCAAGACCCCGCCTTCGCCTCGGAGTGCTTCAGGCGCCAGGAGCTTCACCACCGCCGAACGGTCGTTCGGATCCAGAAATCCCGTCGGGTGGACCTGCACGCGATCCATATCCACCAGCGCAGCTCCTATCTCCTCCAGAAGCGGATGCGACCCCTTCCGCGGCTCGTTTGTCGTCGGCAGGCCGGCCAAGTCAGGACGATACTTGGCCAGCATTCCGTGCGTGTCGCCTGCAAACCCGCCACTGGCGAAGACCACCGGACCATGAAGCATGTCGCTCTTGTTGTTATCCTCTTCTTCGCGCGTGTACTCAACTCCAGTGACTCGATCACCTTCACGCACCACCTTCGTGACTCTGGAACTCGTCCGAAGTTGGAAAAACGAATTCCCATTGAGGGAGTTCAGAAGCGTGCTGACAATCGACTTTCCAGGGGGCGCGCTCTGCCCAGCTCCCCGATGCGTCCGTGGATGCGTATGCCCGCCTAACTGGGTGACCTTGCTGAGATCGATGTCTTTCTCGTCAGCCAGCCAGTGCACCGCAGCGGCAGACGATTCAGTGAGGGTGGAAATCAGCCGTTCACGCTGCGAGCGGTCGTTGGCTGCCGCATGGATGAGGACACTCCCGGCCGATTTGACCGTGTCGTTGAAGAACTCCCGGTCGTCCTTGACCGGCTGAAACCTCGTCGGGGCGCCGTTGATCCCGGACGTAGCCTTGATGGCGTGCCCGCCGGGCTTGATGGCACTCTCGAGCATGTTGACCGGGATATGGTGCGAGACGAGCTGAGTTGCTGCGGATAATCCAGCGAGGCCGGAACCAACGACTATCACGGGCTGGATTTGTGAGGATACGGATGATGACGATGTAGCCATTGTTAGTAGGCGGGTTAGGAATTGTCTGTCATAAGATAAAGCATTTACATAAATGCTACAGATATTACTGATGCTATGAGAGTCTTCTGTTTGTCCTCGATATCCTTGGCTCCGGTGTTGCGTCATTTCCATTCCCAAATGACGTGGTTGTCTTTTCAAATGAATTCTATCTTAAGATTAAGAAGCGCATTGGAAATGTGAGATCCGATTGATTAGTGGTAATCTATATATATACTGACTGGTACTGTTGTTCACTGTTAGAAATCAGATGGACTAAGTCCAGATTGAAATCCAGGGAAAAAGGATAAGATGGCTGTTTTCCATCTTACGATATAGTTCAATCTATTCTGGCCCCTTGAACACCAACATATTTGATTTTCTTTAGATAAAAAGAAATAGTATACGTCTCTGCGTCAACCCTCATGTTGTTCTCCCTTTTGGCCGGTATATTTATAACTGAAATCACTTATCCTAGAGTCAAAGTCCCATGCCTTTGCCAGACCGACCTGGTTGAAGAAATCCTTGATTGTCTTGCCCTCGCAAGATTCAAGGTCCGTACCAGTTTCTTTCAGTGCAATGTAGGAGCGCTGCATGGCAAGCATGGCCGGAATGAACCCAGTGTATGGATATATCGCGGCTCTGAAACCCAAGCTCTGACAGTCAGACGTCTTGAAATTAGGCATGAGGCCCTATTTGGCGAAGGGATCAAAGCCAGCTTGAGTGGCCAGCATCAGTGGACTGTTCTTTCGGCTGACATACATTAGGAAGTACATTGATCAGTACTGGTACATCCCCCATTTCCTTTAAAAGCGTTTTGCACTCGTCCTCTGTCCGAGGAGATTCCATGAACACCATATCGGCGCCAGCAGCCACAGCTGCCTTGAGTCGCTTCACGCCTTCCTCAAATGCCTCGTGTCCGGCATTGGGGCCACCAAATCTTTTGGCTTGTCTGGCATCAGTGCGTGCAATGATGACAAAATCAGGATCCTGGCGGCCTTCAACGGCGCTGCGAATGCGCTCGATGAAAACTTCCTCATCTACTACATCTTTTCCTTGAAGTTGTCCACATCGCTTGGGAAAGACCTGTAAAAATGGATCTGTGTTGTCCAGAGTGACAATTACCTCTTTCACAGATATGATTGATCTTTCCATACTTGGTCCTCAATATGCAGCCCCGCGATACCCGCATGTTCATTCATTCGCACTGCGCGAGCAATGTTGAGTGGGCCCCCAAAACCCGTATCAGCATGGGCAATTACAGGAAGATGCGTGTGTGATGCTATCATCTCGCCTAGTTTGCAGAACTCGGTCTGTGTCATAATCGAGAGATCTGGCTCCCCGCAATATGAACCCGTCGATCCGCTGCCGGCAAGATACAAGAAGTCAAACCCTACAGAGCTTGCCACGTGCGTAGAGATCCCGTCGAAAACCCCAGGGCCGATTAGGCACTTCCCTAGATTGCGTGATGAAAATCTGGGATGGCCGACGTTTAATGCAAAACTTACTTCCCTTCAGGGCTTCCCGAAGACGCCTCGTAGGACTCTCCTTTTGGATGCTGGTCATTTTCCAATACACGCGGCTATTTTTGTTTCACCTTTGGACTGCCGTAGCCACCTTGAGGATGATGTTTGCAGAGCTGCGTTTATGCTGATTCTTCCAGTTAGTCTAAGCCAGAAGCTAGATCTTTAAGCGATTTATTGTTCTCGTTCTGGGGTATTGATAAGCAGATGAAACATCTGAAAATACGTCATCTCTGCCTCATTTCTGCACAATATTTACTGCGGAACGCCGGGAGTGTCCGGGAATGCGAAGTCAGTTCAGGGAATTCACGAAATCCTTGAGGGACAATCAGACATAATTCGGATTACAGCTTGAATAATCGCCACTATTGTCCTTTCCCCTGCAGTGTCTAAGATGTGGTATCCGAGTATAGCTATTTATCCTCCACGTAGGGTGAGAATTGGACCACACGGTTGTCGTCCTCATGGTCCTCCGGTATCTTGTCTTCCTGTTCGCACCATAGCCAGTTCGAGATGTTTCGGAGGGCCCGGCTGATCAGGATGTTGATCGTGTAAGTCTTCTAGTAAACTCAGAGCATTTTTGCAGTTACCTGCGTCATACCATCAGGATCATCACCGTAGTCAACCCACTTGAGGCAGTATTGGAGTTCCCCATTACCCAGCCTCGACTCCAGGACCCGTTCGACTTCATACTCCAGTTCATCCTCTTCTTCAGTGGTTGTACCTTTGTGCAGAGAATCTTCATGCACATCGTTCCGATCCCCGAATCTTTCGTGCGATTTCTCTATCAGGTAGTCTTGCATATTCGAAAGATATTGGCGAGTGGGCTCCTCTTTCGTGAGCCTGCTTATGATGCGTTGCAAGGCAGGCAGGGTGGTAGGATGTCATGTGCGGATGCAGGTATTTCTATGTATTGACAGTAAACTCTGAGCGTACACATTGATACTTCGTCAATCTAGTGGGCGAAAGGAAACTACTTTAGCAAAAACATCCCCCCGATATTGAACTATCTCGATACTATGTCTAGGTAAAAGATACACTCAAAAGATAATGTTCTTACTTCGGAGGATAGCCATAAGCTGGTTCTCCGTTTCGATCTTGTTGTTGGTAAAGACTTGGTGGGTACCTCTGACAGTTGGTGCATGGGTCTCTCCGTCCTTGAACTCAGTCATGCCTGGCTCTTCAAGAAAAAACCCAGTGATGCGGAAAGGTGTCCCACGGTTTTTCACATCTCTTTCATCCAACATGACGGTCCCGTTATCCGCGAGGACAAACTCACTCATCATCGCCGGCACATCATTAGTAAGGACTTGAAGCCCGAGGAGATCAACCAGGTGATGGGCTTAAAGGTATCTAACTAGTTCCTGGAAGAACACGGGATCGACGTCATCCAAACTAGCTGTTGGTCCTTGGTGATACTTGTAGGCTTGCATCTCGCCGCTGGCTGTTAGCTTGAAGATGTGGCCATGGATCTCTGCCGGGTTGATATCTGCGATACTAGTGGGCTGGGTCCAGCATCCCCGCACGGATTTGAGGGACGTCCCAAGCATGATTTTGTCTTCCTCGATCTGGAAGTGTCCGTGGATGAGGTGGAGTCCGAATTTTTTCTGCACATTGAAACGCGTAAAGAGACTGGCAAGCTCCTGAAGGTGATTCTGCTGCACCTGTGGCTGGTCTCCATCGTCCGGTAGAAGATTGTAACTGTTTCGGTATGGTTAGCGCACGGCCAGTCTAATCACAAGTCACCAAGGTTAACATACGCTCGTGATGACTGGAGAAGGTCCTTAATGGTAGGAGGAACATGAAGGCCAGGTATAACAATTGGGGCCGTGACAGCGACTGCCATGATGGAAATGAGCTTTAGAAGAAGTTACTGGCTGTGGATGCAGCAGCTGATAGAGAGAGAATGGGATTCTCTGAACAAAGGAAGCGGAAGGTGGTCTTTAAGTATTCATTCGGCGGTCATCAGCCTTCAAGAATGAGCAGCGTAAAGCCCTCGTACTCTTAACGCTTAACCTATTTGTTTATGCTGGCAGCTACGACACCTGCAGCTTCCTCGTCGTGCTGAAATTCGGAAGACTATTGGGTCATGTTCCCGGATAATAGATGATTCCTTTGACTAGCAAAAGAGCCACTCTAATGAAAGTTTTCAGAGCAGCTTGTCTCCTGCATGGTGAGGGTCAAAGCTGTCAATTATCACGGGATCATAGCACAGAACCGATGTGAAATCTCGTGCATTAGCGCGAGGCTGTCATGGTCCTCTCACTGAAAGACCGGAGCCGCATACCCAGCAAAAAGGGCCATCCCCCGACTGAGAGCGTCCGATTTAGGAAATGGACTGCAAGTACCCTGCCGACGTGGCCAGCAGCTTGTGGTTTTGCATGCTAGTCTGGATGCAACATCGGCCTGGCTGATGAGTAAAACACTGCTTTTCCCCTGTCGTTTTCATTCATCAAGTCATGTGCGTGGCAGGTTCAAGACCAATTCCTTTCGCCACGTCTTCTTGTCCTGTCTCGTTTTGCCCCGTCCCATCCGGTCCCGTCCGGTCCCGCCCCGCTCCCCTTTATTTACCCTCATCCTGTCCCGTCCTGTCTCGTCTCGTTTAATCTTTCTACACCATTCTGCGTCTTCCCTCGCATCCACCTCCCGAGCATGGTGATGCCGGACTGAATGAATCAGTTGGTAGGAAAATTTCGGGTCGCTACAGAGACCTAATGTGTAGCCCCGCTCCCCACCTTATGACCTAAAACCTGACTTTGGTAGGTTTGTGAATTAGATCACCCCTTATTGATTTGAGAAGACACAACACTTATCATTGGGAAGGGATCTCAGGTCCTGGATAGTTCATAAAGTCGGAAGAGCCGAACAACGTTACCCTGAAGACTGTAATGGTGGTATGAAGCAAGGCCATGCCTGAGCGTGCATCAAGACATGATTGCGCCGCGATGTGAGAATGCTTTTGATGTAGACTGAATGGTTCCAGTAAGGAATTGGAATATCACTCTTGAATGTCCTCTGCATTCTGAGATATATCGTGAAAGTGTTTGACAGAAATTGAGCCGGATATCGTAGAATGGGACAGGACGGGACGAGATCATGGGGACGAGGGACGGGAATATCTGGGAATCGCTACGAAAAAGCAATTCCAGGACATTCTACTTTGATCCGCAAATTGAATTCTAGAATATCTCACTGTTGAGTGACTGTGCAATTGATTCTGGCTGACGCTAAGAATCAATTGGATTAGCTTGCTGCAAGCACAATCAACTCTCCTAGATATGCATCCAATTTCACGCAGTCTGCTGCAGTCCTTTGTACGCAGTATATAAGAAAGATGAGATGCAGGTATTGGTGATTAGAGCTACAGAATATATAAAGAAGCAATTCCTCAGGCTCTGATCGACCTTTCGGTTTATCATCAGTGTTCCAGTTTCTTAAACTACCTCATACCAGCTTCTCATACCGCACCAATATCTGCCAGTCGCTCAGCTGCACAACATGGCATTGAAGACTGTAAAGGCGTCTTCCTCTCTCTGTTCCCAAGGCTTGACGCCGCCAGATAGCCCAATGATGGGCTCGGCTACACGTCAAGCTACCATGGAGGACTTGAAGCATCTCTTTGAAAATGTGTTGCTTAATCTTACCAACAGGGAACCTCCAAACACTCTAGTCTTCCAGAACCATTCCTAACCAGGTCCCAACATGGGTGAACTAAAGTAGTTATTGGTGAAGCTTATCTGCAATGAATATTCTTTAACTGGGTCTGTCATTATAAATAAGCCTGCTAAGTCTTCTTCTGCCAGTAATAAGCATGAAGAGAATGTTTAGGCAGTAGATAAGATTAACCTTAAAAGTCCAATCTGTACTACCCTGGATAATTTTAAATTATTTGAAAAGTGGGCCTTAACACCCTAATTCAAGATGGTTATAGAAATATATAAGCTACTAACTCCCCTTCCTATTCTATTTTAATAAAATAACTGACATAGGTATAGTTAGGATAAAGAAGTATGTAAATATAAGATAGCAGAGCTAGTGGAGACTAGTAGTAGTCTAGATAACTATGCTAAATATATATTTATTATCCATAAATATATTAGTATGTAATAACTTCACCTAAAAGACTGAAACCATACTAAGAGTATAATTAGACTAGAATTGCCACGGGCTAGAAGCCGGTCAACCTATGACCTAGGGTTGGACGGTAAGAAATCGCTAAGGGGTTCTAACTAGGGCCGCAACGGCCGAACAAGAAAAGATTGGTGCCTAAGGCAGCTCGCGAGTGCCGATAGGCTCGAGCATACAGCGGGCCTTGCCCGCTACAAGTTAGCATACTATCATCTCCACATCAGACTCAGACTTCATTTTCCCACTACCACGGCCCCGCCTTCCTGAGACCCTCACACGTGTTGGGCCTAACTTTCGCAAACATTGGATCCTTTACTCTGATATGTCAAAGGATGACTTTGTAAGATGGTGGCTACAGACAGACTTTGGATTAAAGAAGGAGTTACAGGATACAATCCACTGGGATGGGAAAAAGAGCTCATTATATTGGGAGCAATTTCATCAGGTTGCAGATGAAAAAACTGGCCAGCCTAAGGTTATGTGTAGACACTGCTGCAATGTTCTTGTTCACCTAGGTCATTGCTGAGCAGGGTTATCTCCAATGAAAGCGCACCTTAAAGGAGCTGCCTGTTAGCGTACCGTGCCTAAATAGCAGAAGGGTATAGACCAGCTTATCCAAGACTCAGTTAGTATAAGGCCCTGGTATAGTTCATTAAGTATGCTCACATTACCCTTATTTAGCCTCAGCGTTCTCCTTAAAGGCTATATAGTCAAGAGCTTTTCATGGAGAAGCTACTTAATATGGTTACTGTTAGGCGTCTTCCCTTTTAATTTAGTGAGCATCGCAAGCTTGATGAGTTTATTGATATTATATGACTTGCACCATCAAAGCCAAAACTCCCCTCTAGCAGGACCCTTTAATGATATCTAGAGAAAAATGTTAAAGAAAAACAAGCAAGTCTACTCCAGAAGCTTCCACTAAATGGGAAGCTTTTAATTGCACTTGACTGCTGGACATCACCTTTTAACCAGGCATTTATAGTAATCACTGGCTACTTTATTGACCAAGAATGGAACTATTATGAGATTCTTCTTGGGTTTAAACCTCTTCATAGTATGCATAATGGAAGTAATCTAAGCTCAGTTATCTTGGAAGTCCTCTAAGAGCATGAGATCACCAACTACATATTATTAATTACTACTGATAATGCATCAAACAATAATACTATGATGGTGAGATTATAGGAGTCAATCCAGTCACAGGATCTTGGTAGTAATGCTATGATTATCTGAATCCCATGCATCGCCCATGTTATTCAGCTTAGTTTAAATTAACTGCTTGGAAAGATGAAAGTAAACCCAGTCAATAATTCTATAGAAAGGGAATGGTCCGATTAAAGTATGCAATCTCTCCAGAAAAAGAGTGATTTAAGTGGAATTGTGGATACACTAAATAAGGTATAATACTATTATATAAAACTCTTATTTTACTAATAATAAGAAAGGTTTAAAGACTTGCTACCTTCATTAATGCAAGTCCACAGTGAAAAGAGGCATTTCTGAGTCTTCAAACTACAGAGCCAAAGCTTGTTCCCTGCCAGGATGTCTGTACTTGCTGGAATTCCACCTACTTAATGCTTTGCCGAGCTAAGCAACTATAGTCTGTCTTTAATGAATACTGTACAATGCATCAATATCTCTAGTTTAAGCTTAATAAGGAAGAATGGCGCTAAATTGAGTATCTGCTCTGGATTACCTAACCTTTCTTTGATTACACCACTGCGCTCTCTATAACAAAGGAGGTCACTATTCATCTTATCCTTGGTATCTATAATAATCTCTTTGACTATCTCGAGAAGTTCATACGCCAACTTCAACGCAAAAGGGTTTCTTAGAAAAAGATAATGCTCCATGCACTCAAAGCAGCAAAGGCTAAGCTCTTATTCTATTATAAAGAGACTGATAAGATGCATAGTGATATCTTTGTAATTAGCATAATTATTACCCCTTTAAATAAGCTTTAATTCTTTTCCACAAGAGAGTGGGAGGGTGGCTGGCGTGAATGGTATTATAAGAGTCTTATTAACTATCTTGAGCAGTACACCAAGCAGCTTGCTAATCTATCAACACCACTAAGCACTTAATTATCATCTGGAAACCTATCTCAGATTAAAATGCTAGTTTCAAGCAGGGCCTTACAGCAGGGAATTAGATCTCACTGCTCTTGATCAAACAGGGATAATGACGAGCTTACAAAATATCTTGAGAGTGGTTAGTAGTGATTAATAACTCCATGACTTATTACTGACGTTAGATAACAGGCACAGTTAATATATCACCAAGGGCCTTCTGGAAAGAGCATGAGCACGAGTTCCCAGCACTATCTAGACTTGCTTGGGATGTTCTTGCCATCCCAGCTAGTGGGGCTGGTGTCAAACGTCTTTTTAACTCTGCTCGTGATATCTGTCACTATCGCTGCGGCCATCTTAAATCTTGCATGATCAAAGACTTAATGATGTGGATGTGTACATCAAAGTTTAAGCTTGAACAAGAGCAGCTAGAACTAATGGAAGAGTATCTTCCAGCTAGTGAGGTTGCTGCTATAGAGGAGGAAAGAGCTCCTCTTCAGCTACAGGCGGATTTTGAGCCTGTTAGTGATGATGAAGAAGATGATGCTAGTAATATTCAGACTGAAACATAAGATCGACTGAGTAAGCAACAATGTACAGGAACTAGGGAAGGGGGCCAAAGAGAAGGACAGTTAGTAGAGCAGTGTCATAAGTTAGATGACAAGACTGAACATCCCTTACCGAGTACACAGGTCACCTGGACGCGTCCCGTTGCCAAGGTGGACTGTAACCAATTACAGACGCAGTAACTAATCAGTTAATAAGTGGTTTTGAGTTTAAATCAATGTGCAGATAATTGCGGAGGAGAAATTGAAAACGAATTTCATGGTATGCATTACAGTATTTAAATGTTGACCTGGGAGGTTGGGAGTGCCAAGACAGGTGGGGCGTCCACCTCATCTTTTTCAAGGTCCACCTGACCTGTAACCTGATCCCTTACCCCAGAATGACATACTGACGCGCGGATCTAAGAGATCTCGGAAGGCTCCAAGAGGGTTCAAGGATTATAAAATTATCAAACCATAGTCACATAGCCTAATAGAAGACTTTCAAGTAGTATCTCCTTTTCTGCAATTTGTCCTATAGTCTATACTACGACTCTATACCTTGATACTTGGATTCTGAAAGGTGACTTTTCTATACACCCCTAGAACGATAAATTACAAACAAAACATGCATAAATTATGTAGTAATGGATTTAGCCATGTTTATATTGTTTGCCTATCCGCAAAATATCTAAATCCACACTGCGGATACCATTTACTATCCATATCATATCATTGCGGATATGTAAATATCAGATTACATCCATATCCACGGATATGCGGATTTGGATATGCGGATTTGGATACATCGTGGATGTTGCCACAGCCTAATACTCCCCCTGGAAAAAGGTTCCGGCCGAAGAAGGCGAATGCCATATCCCTCAATATTGCGAATGAGGTTAAGTTTTCTCCCTCACGCTGGTCCGGACTGTAGATATGGGGGATATATATCAATTCCCGATCTTTGAGATATGATTTCAAGGACGGTAAACCGCACCGCTTGATCTTTCCAGAGCCGTTGGTGGCGGTCTGTGGGACCACTACTTCGTAATCGGATCTTGATTTCGCTTTGGGATAGTCAAGAAGCTGGACTATTTTTCTCGAGGCGACATGATCCCACTGGCCAGTGTATTTGTAGTGAGCCTGCGGACGTCGACCGATTAGGTAAGCTCTGGCATTGGGTTTAAGTTCAAACTGCCTACAAAGGGCATCGATCTGACGAGATTTGAACCCTAGCTGTCTTGCTAGTATACCAAGTTGGTGGTTAGATTCCCTCCGCGTTGGTCGAAATGAGTGCGTTTCGCTGTCCCGCTCATCACTAGATCCTGCGAGGTTGGTGTGCGTCAGACTTTCGATATAGCGAATAGCAAAAAGCTAAAGCTGCACATAAGCTGCTATTGCTGGTTGAGATGAATCCCCTAAGCCGGCTTGAAGAGATTCAACCGCATTTTCTGCGATTTGGATCGGCCACTCTGCGCCATCGCCATGAAACTGGGGAAGAGGCATGGCGCAGATCCTTGCAGCGCCCTGGAACTAACTGTTTGAGGGCTTGTGCGCAAGGGTGCCAGAGCAATGAGTCTTGCACTAGAGAGTGGAGAGATAGTATTCGACCATGAATACCTAAAAGCCTATTGAGAAGGGTCTCTCGGGTTTCGCTGCCTACCACGTGGGGAAACAGCGTGCCATATTCCATCGCATCGAGGATCCCAGTACGGTCTGTACTGGACTGCTGAGGCATGAGATTTTCAACCCGGCGGACAGACAGTAAGTTGACTAGCTCAGTCATGCCTTCAAACAGTGTAGACCAGATACAGTAAATTTCATTGAGGTATCCCGTAATTTCCTGCACCCCAATGAGTAAGAGGATCTATGTGGTCGGGCTTTTCACACACTCACGCTGGGACACCCGATTTCTGTCAGCCGTCGAAGGAATGCGAAGCTAAAATCTGCCCAAAGACCGGGAAATGGCAGCAGCTTGTCTAGGGCACTCAGTACTATAGGGTACCTCTTCTTCATGCTGACCAGGTCCTGCTGGCTGTGCTTTGATAATTTTGACAACCAAAAAGCCAGTTCAGCATTGCTTATGAGCTTGCAGTGGCGTAAGTTGCGATAAATATCTCCATAGCCAAATTCACCATCTCAATGGACGCAAAGCTGGCGCTGTAAATCCTCTGGAATGCCTGCATCTTAATTAGCGGAGAGTAAAGAGTCCCAGATTTCCAAGCCGCGACTTACTGTTATGATATAAGGTAACTGACCACCAGCTATCACTCTGAGACAACACCTCCTTTGCAGCCTCCACCCGATGCCTGCCATATAAGCATTTAAGACGGTAGCCGTCGGGAAGAATGAGGAGAGGGGTTTCTGTTTCACTTCTCAAAAGTTCACCAGTAGTACCTGACTGTATGATCGCTTGTTCCAGAGTATCATTGTTGATTACTGCTGAAATAGAGTTGCATGGCTCGGAGCGAGCGGAGAATGAAACTCCAGGTGATAGAGTGATATCTTTGCATGTCCACGAAAGTATTCTGGCGCCACAGCCATAGTTCACTCTGATTTCAGTCTTTGACCCGAGGCATCTAATTTAATATCTTCAGAAGAGGGACTCGGGAGTCTGACGATAAACTCTAAGAGAGCGTCTCCAGCGGCTGAGGGCAAGCGCATGTGCTTAGCCATGCAAGCCAATGGTGATGATCGGATGGATGAAGACGTCCGACGGTAGCGTCCAGACTTCACGTCCCAGATGCTTGAGAACATGACCATGACGCCGGTGGAGCAGCGCTAGCTCGGGGCCAAGCCTGGCATTCACAGTACGGCTGCTGTCACACTCAGACTGCTGTCATGGTACGACAGCTGTCTTGGAAGTATCAAGATGTCCTTGAACAGGGCGAAAGCATCGCAAACTATCTCGGAGCGCCGATGGTAAGCAGAATAATGGAGGAAAGAATAGGGAGGCTATTCAGCCAGCACCAACCGTCAGTGGGTGAGCGTGGAAATGGAGGGCACGACATGATGCTCACGTGGACCGAGATTATCCTTGAGTTCAAAAATGGCCAGCTCGAAAATGATGATAATGGCATGTCATCCATTCAAGTCCGAGGAGTCACGGTTCAGCTATCGGAGGCCGACCTAACTATGCTCCGTTCCGGCATTCCCCAAGTACTCATGGATCCCCTGGATGCGAAGGATAGATGGACCGAGCAAACTGCAGTCGAATCTAGCATCACCAATATATCAGAGTGGAATCAATGCGCTATGCAAGGTACGACCGGCATGCGTCTACTGTTCTTGATTTCGCTTCCAAAACCAGCTAATGAAAAGTTTACAGTCATCGAACAAAATGATAAGTTGCTGCAGGCCCTAAGGAACAGACTAGCTATGCTTCTCAACTATGCTTCAACAGATACCCAGTCACACAGCGGCACCCTCAACACTCCTTCGACAGGGAATATTTTGGGATCAGGCCCAGCGGGCGTCAACCCGCTCCCCAGTGTGCCTCTCCCAACGGAGTCTGAAGATGGTGCGAGCACAGCTCAACGTCCTCGAGTCCACACACCTGTGCACGATCCAGCAGGGCCTGTGACAAGGAGATCGCCCCAACCAGGGAGCCGGAAGTGGTCTGCTGAAGAAGAGAACCGCCTGTTGGACTGGCTGGAGGCTCACTGTACCTTGACATGCAGTAAAATGGAACATGAGTACGAAAGGGAGTTTGGCATATATCGGCCGTATCCAGCAATGCAAGCAAAAGCGGCGCGTCTGCAACCGGTCAAATCATATAATCCTCCAAGGAAAAGAACCCGCCAGAGCCACTACACCAGTCCAAATGTGGTCATTAAAACTCCAAGGTATACAGCACCACTTCAGGATACCCATTCAACGGCTTACTGCTCTGGGCTACAAGTGGAGGAAAGACAGACCTATTTGCCTCCGACACTGGCGGAATTGCCAACAGTCGGGGAGGACCATCCTGTGCCTCGCCGTGACTGTCTTCCAGTCAAGAAATTATTAGGCTAGCGGTACCGGTCATTCATGAAGGAAAGGGGCGGGCGGTAGAATAGCTCTCGTGCTGTATGGTAGGACTAGGTGCGATAGGATGCATTCAGTTACAGTGAGAGTCGAAAACAGATTCCCCCATGGAGATACATGTTTTGTTTCTCGGCCCGTACCCGAAACTACGCTAATCTGTATTGGGTTACTCCAGGTACAACCCCTGCTTGACCGTATCGTGTCTTGTAACATATTGGATTTCAGGTGCTTGTACAATACTGTAAATCTCTACAGAATGTTCTAGGCAGGGTTCTCGACGTGGTGGAGGGAGACCTGGGCGATCTGGCTTGATCCACCACCCGCCGTCCTCACTTTCTTCCTTTTCATCCACAGCCTTTGTCTTAATCTACCTCTTACATGAAGGCTGTGCCGCTGCTGTAGAGGACTAACCCTGGTAGGTCAATATGGTTCTCGTTTGTATTTTTCCATGGTTCCAGCTCTCTACTGCCGCTTCTATTCGTTCGTGGCGTGTGCTGGTACTGGCCATGTAAGCTGAAGCAGATCTCAGGGCTTCAATCGTGTGTAAATATAAGCCACAGTCCAACAGTATTTTACGACTTTTCCAAATATAGATTAAATTAGTGTTATATTATGGTTTGGGAAATAATTCGCGTGTGTACAGTGACACAGCAAATGTTTTAACACCCTCACACGGACTGCTCTCCACACTGCCTATTATAAACCCAAGAACGCACTAATATTAGCTTGCTTTTTGGGTATATTTGCTTAAGAGAGTGCTTATTCGGGCGGCAGGTTTCATTTAACCCATGAGAGTTAAATATTTTATAAGGAGAGCAGGCAACTGGGGGTTGAATTGTTGTCACTTTTTGACCGGCAGAATATGAGTAATCAAGGGGGTGTTAAAACTTTTGCGGCGTCACTGTACATGGAGGAATCTGCTTTTGACTTTCACTGTACCTAGGCAAGCGTCGTACAGGGTTCACCTCACAACGCCAACTATCCCAATTTGGGTTTTGCCCGCAAACCCCGCTGTCACAGATGCGTAGTCGGCGTGGAGCCAGGAATGATATAAATAGCCAGCGTCGGCTAGTATCTTTCTCTCATTCTTTGGCGAGGTAAGTTGAGAGACGGGGCAGACCTAAGTATTACAACTTGCTACGGCTCTGTGACATATAAGTTGTAAAGCAAGGACCTGTGAATTTCCTCCCGGGGGTTAGGTTTGTCTCTTCTAGTTTGGCTTGAAGTTAAATAAGGGACTAAATGTCGTGAGACTCTTTCGCTTGCCTAACATCCTCGTCCTCGCCGCATTCTTACGGCTAAATGCAGCAGACGGATTTTTTTCGTATCTTGTCTTGCATGTTCACCGGTTTGTGCCGTTTTGCGTCGCGAGGGGACCGTGCCCAGATTGGCCCCCAAATTTGGGTTATGGATCGGCGCGCAAGGTGGGGATGTTGGGGACGTGCATCTGCAAGTGCGGCACAATGTGGCTGGACATCAAGGTAGTGTGCACTGCCCTGACGCTAGCGTGCAGGGGCTCACAACCCCTCCAAGCGTATTAATAGGGCCGTTTCCTGGGGACGAGTTGCCCAGCCGAACTCACGAACCTATTAGTCGGTCCATTCGACGTTCGACATGGACCGACCGAAACCACGTTCCAGACTCAGGGAAGAGGAATTTTCGGAAGAGCAAAAGCAGCCATTCGTCGAGCAATCACTACACCAGGATGAGGAAGATGGGCCAGATTTTGACACGGCGAGCGCTACAAGATCTGGATGCATTGCCGCTGTATCGACGGGCGTGATTCTCTCCCTTCTTTGCTTGATATCCGGTGTTTACCTCCTCAGAACCAACCAGGCAACACTCGGCGCTTCGGCCTCTATCTCTACTTCTGGAAGAGAAGCCATGGCCCTAGCGATCAACGTCATACTAGCACTCTGCACTGATGGTATGATGTTTGTGCATTCCGTCTCGTTACGTTGGGCATTGTATCGCGAGGAACGCCTGGAGTTCAACACCAATATCCGTCTCTTCACCAGCTCCAAAAGATTCGGCCCGAACAAATGGTACATCAACCTAGTGGCCCTAACTTGCCTGATGCTATCATACGCCTCTTCATCCGTTCTGCTGCTGTCTGACCAAACTGTTGTGCTATCTGAGAATGAAGACCAATTTCCATTATTTATTAACGCCACAGCTCTAGTAGCCTTGGGTCTAGGTCTCGCCGGTCAGGCCGTCATCGCCGTATGGTGCCTAGTGTCCAGCTACAAGTTGATACCGACCTGGAGCTCCAACCCGCTCAACACCGCGTCGGCCGTGATGCAGAATGGTGACCTCGCTCACCGTCCCGGGAGATGTATGCTATCAGTTCACCAGAGACAAATGTCAAGCCAAGAGACATATCCTATGGATCGACAAGGAAATATGTTCCAATTACAGGGCATGGTGCGATATACTCTCGCTTTACTGTGGTCACTGGCTCTTCTGGCCATCGCGTGGCCTATCGCCATCGCCACTGTCTCCAAGTCCATCGGCAACGCCAGTGCTGCTGGCCAGGGCTTTGAACCTTTATGCTGGAGAGTTGGATTTAAATGGAATAAAATAGATTGGGCGTGCTCTCGGAACTATGTGACGCTGTCTTTGTCCCCATATGCGAATGACCACAATCCCAATTCCGCAACGTTCTCGTACGGTGCCGAGGCTGTACTTTGCGTTCTCTTTGTCTGTCTTATCCAGGCTAGTCAGACCGTTGCATTGCACTGTTTGGAGCTGCTCGTCAACTTGTCCAGAGATGAAGGCATTTGGCGACAAGCTTACAGTGAAACAAGAGAGGCCCCAGGGACACAGTTGGCCACGAATCCATTCCGTGCAGCTGTATCGAGTTGGGAGAACGCCGTTCTATTCATAGCCAAAGCGGTGCTGCATTGGATAATTGGTCAGAGCCTGATCCCTTCCGTTATCATGGAAGCCTCCAAAGACATCGAATCATTCCCCTCCACTCCTGTCGAAGACCTCTCCACTCATGTCGAAGACCTGTCGTTCAAACACGGATTCCAGTTTGATATGGTATACTCGCGGTTGATTATATACGCCATACTAGCCGTCCTCGTGGCCACTTTCGCGACATACCTGGCTCTCAGGCGACCGAGAGGCTGTCAGCCTGCCGCGCTGGGGCATCTGCCGACTCTTGTAGATCTCGTCGATGATTGGAGGACGGACCAGGGTGGCCGGATGTGGTGGGGGGATAAGACTCAACTAGAGGCCGGTCAGGTGCGGCACGCCGGAACATGCTGGGATAAGACGGTGCTTGGCCCGATATGTACTGCTAGATATGCCGGTGGTTAACCTGAAGCGGTCATTTTCGGCGTCGATTTAACAGGTCCTCGCATTCTCTACGTAACGTTACCGAGTTGTAGGCCGTAGTTCGCTATACCGTACCATTGCTTGCTAAGTCTCACAACAGGCTAGGGTCGCAGCAGCGATAGAGGCGATTTTGTCCGAACAGTCGCAAGCTCCTGCGGATATTTTTGATCGTCTGTTCGCTGCATTCTGCTGCCTTAGCCATTTGAGAACGAGTTAGTGACTCGCTTGGTATCATATCGCTAATGAGGTGTAGCTTTGACGGGGGTAGTCTCGGTTCCATATTGCCCAGAGATTCTCGCAATTCTCAGATAGTGGTGTTGAGAAGGATAGAGGTCAGGGTATGGACGGGCACTGTGGTAGGAATGTATGGGAGTTTCGTGTAAAATACGGTATTATACGTAAAGCGGTTGTTCTGGAATTAAAACGGGTCTATTCTTAGGAAAGGATTATTTACGCCGTATCTTAATACGGATTAGCGTGGTTTCGGGTACGGGCCGAGAAACAAAGCGTGTGTCTCCATGGGGGAATCTGTTTTCGACTCACACTAGGGAACATATTGCATGAAACTGAACTCGTCGGGGGTATATTGCGGCAGGGAGGTGATTCGAGATGGGAATGGGAGCAGGAAGGGAGAAGGATCACGGAGGTAGGCTGTGAGAAAGAAAACCGAGATGCTTCCACTTTTACAGGGACGATTGGCCTCCTTATACTTGCTCTCAGCGCGTCCACACCATAATTTCGCCCTGCTCAGAGGTAACGAGGCGAAATCCTCCTGTGCTCAAATCTCGCTCGAGGCTGCTGACGTGTCCGTCCTCATCCGAAAGCGTTAATTGAAAGATGAAGTCCAGTACCCTGCACCAATTGTATCCAGTTATTTCAGCTCCGAGTCTCACATGTCAAACATACTATTGCTCTAATGTAATATATGCGGTAATTTCGCTATTGGCTGGTGAACAGGGCGAGGACACGGAAGGAATTGAGCTCAGTGGGTCAAAGGATGATCCTAGAAGGGAGGAAATGCAACCCAGGTCACCCAAGCCCAGCTGACGCCCTGGCTTGATGATGAAGCCATCCTTGGTAGCTGAATGACCAGGAGGTTGGGTCTTTTCTGCAAACAAAATCTCAGAGCTCAGCGGGTGAAGCAATCACAGAGGTAGACGCAAAAGACCAGAGCAATGGAGTAGAATGACCGGGGAAGGAACGAAGGAAAAACGTGTTGGAATAAGGATATCGGAAATCAACCAGAGATACAACGTCGACAAATTCGTGCATGACGCGGCGAAGACCGTCAGGACTGCCCAGCGGCCCACATTCCACCATAGGCAAGAGAACAGCCTCAGGGGAGAAATCGGATTGCCCAGTAACCAATGAAGCGACGGTATTAAAGTCTCGACCCATCAAATGACCTTTCGGTGACCCCGTAGCTGAAGGCAGGCAAGAGGGGCGCAGACAGCGCCATACTGGAAAAGGGCAATCGTCGGATAACGCGGCATCCTCCTAGCGGGGCAGTGCATCGGGCGAGGGGGACGGAAGGGGAAAATGGAAAGAAAAAGTGCGTCGTTGTTCGAGGGAGAGATGTCGGGCTTATATAGATGGAGTGGTTGCGTCAGAGCGGCAGGAGAAGCAGGTAAAAGCAGCGAGAGTCAGCCCGATGCCCAAAGCAGTAAACACTATCCCGCAACGGGCAGTCAGACTCCCATGGACGGCAGGCGGTGGCGGGCGGCAGACGGACGGTTCAATGAGGGCCGTTTCCAGCGCCCCGCTAACCGTGTCATCGTATACTCTTTAGCTCTTTACTATACTATAGCTAGTTCTATAGTTACTATTTCTAAGGCTTCTTATATCTTAGTAATAATCTATTTATCTTATTCTCTTAGGGTTTATACTATCTTAATATTTATATTACTATCTAGCTACTTAATCTTAAGTAGTTCTATTGTAGCGGGCAAGGCCCGCTGAATGCTCGAGCTCACTGAGCACTCGCGAACTGCCTCAGGCAGGCTAGGTCACGTGATTCTGTACTAAGTAATGTCGTGAACAGCCATGTCACGTGACCCCGTT